TATTTAGAACGAAAGTACTAATTGGGGACACTAATTTGTACGTCTCCTACTAGAGACGGGACTGCCATTTCACGTGGTCATCCGAGCCACGCGAAGGTCTACCCGTTTGCAGGGCAAAGAAAGTACCTTCGTTCCGCGGTTATTTTAAGACCCTGAGTATTGGTCCGGTCCCTGGAATCGAACACGCGACCTCCCGCTCTGCAGTCAAGCGCTCTACCGACTGAGTTAACCCTGCCGTGGTTGTACAAGTAAATGACGTAATGAGCTATGAATGCCTCCTAGCTAATGTGCGTGTGAACTTGAGACAGACCACCATATCGGGGACTACGTTACGTCGTTATGATCGGTGTGTGGGTTCTCTAACGTCCCATAGAATTTTATCTAAGAGATGTGAGACGAGGCCGGGGGTCTATGGTTTATCGTCCTTACCCGGGAACACAAGAAGGTCCAAAAGATATCATTACCAAGGCAGCACTTTCTCCCCAGTTATTTTAACACCCTGGGTGATGTTGTGACCGCTTGGCAGACAGGCTCTTAACCCGGGGGTACTCCCTATAACGGCCTTTGCGGGGAGGTTCCGCCCGAAAGGGGTACCTTTTTCAGGCTTCAGGTATATGAAAGGGGAGGGATTTCACTTGATGAAGTATATGAAAGGGTAGGGCAGTAACGACTTCATGGGGTTTATAGACCAACGGCGGTGATCGGCCATCACATCGAACCGGAGGTTTGACCGTAGATTCAAAAACGGCCCTATATATGATATATAGTTCCTTTATACGCAGCGACATTTGAAAAATTTTAAAATAAATTATCGGATGAAGCCCAGTGAGGGCGGAGGAGGAAGAGAAGGAAGGATGGCGCTATACTTTTATACTTTTATACTTATACTTATACTTATACTTTTTATACTTTTATACTTAAAAGAACCTGCGTGTAAGAAGCTATTGGTTTAAAAAACCTGCTGACAGAGATTTGCCACTTAAAAACCCAAAAATATAACAAACCTGTTTAGCCAAGAAAAATCAAGCAGATTCTTATATGTGGGTTACAGTTAAATTATGATAATTATTTTTAACCAAGGAGTTTGACCACAAAATACATGAACTTTTTTGCAAGACTTAAAAAAATGTAGGTTATTACACGCAGGTATTTATTGTTTTTGATGACGGTGTGTAATCAAGGCATGGGCTTCTACAAAGTAGAAACGACCTTAATACTAGGTTTACTACTAACAACCTAAAAACTTTGGCACACTAATAGCTTCACATATGATTTATACTAATGACTATAATCAAAAAATTATTTTTGGAAAGATTGGGAAGATGTATTTTCCCATGAAAAATTATTTCTCTTTTCGGACTTTTATTTTAAATCATCCTAAAATGTCCAAACACGGAAATAATGTACCCAATAGTGTTGACATCACAATGCTAAATCATGGTAAAAGGTGTTAACGTTTAGCTGAGATTTCTGAGCTGCAAAATAACTTTGACACGTCACGTGACAACATATGATTATTTCGAATTTACCAAATCAATACATAGCATTTTTCGAGCGTTTTGATTGGCTCCTATAACAAGGAATATCCTTGGCTCTTCACTGTTTTAGGATGGGAGTGAGTATGACGTTCCTTTTTGCGACTGTTTCGGATGTCGACATTTCAGCGACAAATTGAAGAAAGCGACGAAGTTTGGCTTATCGGTGTTTACCGGTTGGTACAAAATTGCTTTGTTACCGAATTTGCAACAAAATCGTAAAAATGCACTCGACACATCACCGAAACACGGTCATATAAAAAGCAAGAAGAAAGCTCTTATCAAGTCTTTTATTTACAAAAAATAAATTCTTCATTTTTATCTCAACTGAATTGAAAAGAGTGAATGCTAAAAAAACTATCCAGGCCCTTCAAGGTCGGTGTAGAGTGCTAGATGTCATTGTACCTCTAAACATGGCGTCTCGGTGTACAAAAAATAGATTTGAGTCCACGATTTGATTCACCAATGAATAAGTTATTGCTAAACTACGATGGTAATAAATAATTCAGATTAAATCAATCTCTTTGATAAGACACAAGCAAGGTTAATACTGATAGGCTGGAATCGTTCCAGTAAAAAATCAGAGGATTTGCGCCGAGTTTTTGGGAAAGTGTTTTCTTAATAAAATAATTGTGTTTGCTTTAATGAATCAACGATCAGAAAAAAAATTCAAGAGAAGATTACAAGCTTTAGACTGAGGGTAAAACTGTGGTGGCTCTTGAGTTGGCTCTGGCTAATATGGTGAGATTGTTATTGTATGGGTTTACATAAAAACAAAAATATGTCAGTGTGAATTAAGAACACTAATAAACGTGCGCGGGCGGGCAATCTGGAAGTCAGAATACTTGACAGTTGGAACTTTGGCGCTGTAATTTGGCTTTACTGCAACAAATAAAGTTGATAATTTGGGATTTTGTAGTCAGAGCTATTCCAGTTGAGGGGATAACTTTTACAAACTGCTTTAAGTATGATAAATCCAGGGTAGAAATGCTTGTTATAAACTTCGGTAAAAATTAAATTTTCTCTTAATTGTCATGGTATGAAGAATGCTCGAAATCAGTAATTTTTCTCTTTATTTTTATTACAAGGCTATTTTTTGCTCTTTACCTTCAATCTAGGGTATTCCAATATATATATGAATTGCAGAGATAGCCAAAAATGATATTTTGAAAAGAGCTTAAACATATTCTCTAATTGATGGTTATCAAACTATTTCTAAACATTTGTTTCCTACTTGTTTGCTTTAAAGCCAGTATTTAAATATGTCAGTTGGTTGGAAGGAAACAGACTTTAAATGTTATTGTTTTCCTGCATTTATTTGTTACATCCATATTCCTTTGTTGCAGGAAAACCTCACTGAATACCACCTCGCAGGTAGGTTTTTGTCATAGCCACGTACACTCTCCTCCGAACCTCCTTTAGTAGCGCCATAGTGACAGGAGACTCTTATGGTAGCACTACATTAAACCCCTGGAAACCACGGCACAAGAAACGGTTTCATATTAAAGGGTACCTTGTTATAGCTCAATAGATCTCCTTGGCTTGTATGTTCTGTTTTCCAATGAAGGTTTCAGGCAAATTTGCCCCTTGGTCTTTTCACTAATTATGCGCGTGCATATACGCTCTACTCTCGTTATACGAGATGGCTTTTGTACTGGCATGAAAATCACGCTGATAGGGCTTCTGTTCACACATTTCTGTAACGGAGCGAGGCTGCGCTGCGCTGATCTCCAAAGCGGAGAGTCACATATCGCTCACACTATATAGACCGGGTAGCTTTAGGTGTCGGCAAGAAAAGCTAGCCTTTAACGAAACAGTTCTCTAGAGTATTATCAATTGACCTATATTGGAAAACAAAACATATAAGGTCTATTAAACCAAAAAGAGATTCATTTCGTCCGGCAGAAAAATCTTCAGCCACAAAAACTAAACAATGTATGGAAAATCTGAATTTTCTTGGAACATAGAGCTTAGAACTTGCCATGCACTTTGGGTTACATTGCTAGGTGTGACCCAAAAAATTACAACCAAACTATGAATATAAAAGTATATTTAATATTTGCTTGTATATGCAATAACTTTTTGATGTTTTGATCCAGTTTTCAATGGTTACTTATTCATGTAATAACCCACAAAACGATAAAACACACCAGTAAGTGGATGTTTTATTCTACCTGACCCAAGGGAAAGTCATTAAGTTACTAGATTATCTTTGGAAGATAACAATAACAACAACAACAACAGTTTCAACCACTTGTAAAGCCTACCATCCATTTCTTCTACATACATGTTTTCAAAAAAAAAGAATACATATAAAACTGTAGTTTTTTTGTTCATGCCAAACAAAATTTCAAATGACAGGTGGCACTTTAAAAAATATTTTTTCGATACGTTTTGCGATGTTTTGTCCTTTTCATATGACCTTAAAAGCAATTAGCTTATAATTAGGCAACCTGTAGGTATTTAACCCAAAACAGCGGGGATGATCAAAAATGTTTTCTAAGAGAGCAGAATTTCCTTTTTGTTAGAGATAAGCAAAAAGGCGTTTTCGTTAGTGGGTATAAAAGAGTCTCAAGTTCTTATTTACCGGGTACTGAATGAGTAATTAGCTTGAAAATGTTCTGAAATTTATTTCAGAAATACTACATACACATAATAAAGTACCAGAGGTTTAATTAAAATACAATGTTTTATCACTTACACTAAAGCATAATTTTCAATGAAATCTTTCCGTACTACTCATATAAGGAAACATACGAGTTACTGTATTGATTTCTTATTCTGGCATCCTTTTTTCTTATAAAACATGTTTTGTTTATCAGGCTGAATTAGTTCTTATCATATTTGCTTTATTGTCCAACTTTCAGCCTGATGTTCTTACTTAATCCACTGTTTCTTAAATGCGGGTGTTTCCTGTATTACTAGGATCTGCTTTTGTCGTTGACCCAACATTTTCACGTTTCAATCGTGTGCATTCTTTCCATCGGTATCGACAGACCACTTGAATACAATCTTAAATAAGAAAACTGTACCATTATCTTTGGAATTTTTAAAGTGATGCAAAGACACATCGTACTTTTAAAAAAGAGAGCAAATAGCCACGACATAGCCCCTCTTTTAAATGTCCACTCTGTTGGGACCATGTTTAGTACCTGCATTTTCCCTCACAATTAATTTAGAAGCGGCACAACAGTTTTAAGAGGCGAATTTTATGAGGACTATCACGACACCTAATTTGTACTTATAAAATGCGACCCATCAATGTTAAGTTTTTTTTCACAGATTACTGGGATGCTTTTCAATACTTCGACAAGGACAACAGTGGATTTATTACAACCAAAGAGCTGGGGAACCTTATGAGGTCACTCGGAGAGAACCCCACAGAAAATGAGCTCCAGTCAATCATTAACGTAGTGGATATGGATGGTAAGGTGTAAGCGCATGCGTAAAGTTTCCTCTTATAACAACACACCCATCAGGATTTCAAAGCGCGCCCGTGGTCATGTGAAAAATGACCCGAGGACACAATGGGAGTGAATTGTAAGGACTACAGTAGCTATGTATATCATTTGATACAATGTGGCAAATATTACACGCGTTATGATTGGTTGTTGCTCATGCGTCTATCAGAGTTCATACACATGGATGACGTCACGGAAATTGTGGTTCAGGTATTGTGGATTTTTAAGATAGTTCTTAATTTCTTCACTTAATATCTCAACAGAAAATGGCTTGATGGATTTCCAAGAGTTCGTCCAACTCATGTCGAAAAAGAACCAGTATGGACTGGACGCAACCGAAGCGAAGCAAGCTTTTCGGATTTTCGATAGAGACGACCGCGGCTACGTGCTCACTTCAGAACTTCGGCAGGCTTTCAGAAGTTTGGAGGAAGACATTCCCGAGAGCGAGCTTGATGAAATTTTAGAAGATAAGTACCAATCAGGGAACAGGAAAATATCATTTGAAGGTACTGGATTTTATAGCAACAGACTGAACAAAATATGCTATAGTCAAAGAAAGGCGTTTTAGTAAGGGATCGACGAAAGTAACGGTAATCTCAACTGGACTAACATAAATGTGATGATGATTAGTGATGATTAGTGACGATGATGATGATGACGATGATGATGATGATAATGATGATGATGGTGGTGATGGCGATGGTGATGATACGGTTTCGTCACCAAAACTGGTTTTAAAAAGGTTTTTCTTGGACACAACATGCACATAAAATAAAATAATGACGGACAATATAAGCCTTAATCTAATAGGATAAAAATACTGACGTTTAAGTGTGCATAACGCTTCCGTTTAAAACAAACTTAAGGTATAGGATTTTTCAAACTGTTACGCAGAGAAAGTTACCTTTTCTTGAGTACGTTACTTCTCCCTTCGAACACAACTGAGCCCCTTAGTCACTGTCCTTTACCATTTTCTAAACCTCACGCGCCAGTTGCATAAAACTTAACGCCAGACTTAACTGATAACGTATGGCGTTTAAAGCAGAGTTTGACTGGGCTTAACAATAGACATCAGCCAGTACGTCCGACCATAGAGTTATTGCTATATAAAGGTGGCAACTTTTTAAATTTAGAATGGGAGTAATGTAACGTTCTATGGAATAAATTTCAACTATCAATGATTGACTTTATCCATAGACTAAAGCATTGGTACGCATGATATTTCACCCTCCGATAATCACGTAAAATATTATTTTGTTTACAGAATTTAAGAAAATGACAAGATTGGAGAATTCAAATGCAGTTGGAGCTAAGAGGAACACAAAGCAAACAGTACCTCATACATTCAGGAAGTGAAGCTCTCTACAATGGTTGGTTGTATTGGTATCTGAGTTACTATGTAAGACAAGCACTGCAGCGATACGAAATTAGGCGAGATTTGAGTAACTTTCAACAGAGACATTTTCGTTATCCAAAATTACACTTAAAACGTCGAGAGAAGCTAAAAAAAATTAAAACATACGTCGAAACACAAAATGTTTTCCCACTGTTTTTACATGCACTTTGGACGCATTGTCTCCCCTCACTGCCTCGTATCGAAAATTTGCCCGCAAAGGAAGGCGGGAAGGAAGAAAAGAGCGAGACCAAGGTCCATTGCCATTCGTCACCAGTCACTCGCGTTTCGCACTCGCCTCTTTGCGAAATACGAAGTGCCTGAGGAGGAGGCAGCTCCCCTTACTTTTCATTTTGCCCTGTCCCCTCTAGAGAACTTGTTCATAGGTTAAAGTAAAAGGCAGCGTTTGACAGTAACTGTTAAATTCAAATTTACCCGAGCGTTTGGACGATATCACACATCCAGCCGCGTCAGTTCAAGTTACAGACTGGCTGTGTGATCACATAATCAATACTTAAAAATGGCATTTTCTCAGTAGAAAATGGTCCAGATAAAAACATTGGCAATCACCTTTTATTTTACTGTAAATTTACAAAGATTTAATCAGTCACAATTAAGTATATTGCATGTGTCTTTACTTTGCGTCATTATTGATATTAGAAACGAGAAAAGGAGATGATCCTTGCTGAGGAGTGGGGCGGGAAGGGAAAGGGGTAATGAGCTAATGGAGATGTAACGCTGAACGGCATCGCATTTCCACGACTGGATTGTCGATAAATATGGTTGCATCTTCAACAGAGTCAGTTGAATAGAGTTGCTCATTGTGGGGATTTTCGAGGTAAAAATTCTGGCAAGTAGGACTAGGTGTCAATTCGTTTTAGCAAGACGTAATTAAAATGGATTGTAGTTACTAGGTAAATGCATACACAAAAAGAGGCTACATTGGGATGGCAAAATTTACATTAATCCTGTAATAGGCCACAGACAGAGTGGACTAGACTTAGACTATAGTAGGGTAGGGGTTCTGAGAGGCTAGCTGCACATACCCAGCAAATAATAACACTACAACTCCAACAGAAACAACTTTTTCACAACTTACTTGCCCATTAGT